TCTATCCTTCCCTTAGTGAAAGCAGCTTGCATTTCCAATCAGAAAGTCAAAGTCAATGAAACTTCCATCTGGCTTAAAAAAGAGAATGTGTGTGAACCGTGTTCACTGTGTTCATACACACGATGCAGAAGAGTGTGTACACATGTACAGTATATGAAAACTTTAGAAGGAAACATGCCAAATGTTAGCAATGAAAAATAAAGTTGGGGGCTGGAGTTGTGGATCAGTGGTGGAGCACTGGCCTGGCATGTGTGAGGCCCTGGGATCAAGTCTCAACACAAAATATAAATGAATAAAATAAAGGTCCATCGACAACTAAAAATACAAAAAAAAAAATTAAAAGCTGTTGTTTGATAATATCTCTTCTCAAGGTAAAAGATCCTAAAAATGTAAGATTAAAAAATGGCATTAAATATCAAAGACCTAAATGTAAGAGCTAAAACTATAAAACTCTTAGAAGAAAATAGACACAACTCTTCATGATCTTGCTTTAGGCAATAATTTTTTAGACATAATACAAAAAGCACAAGCAGCACAAGAAAAAATAGATAAATGGGACAATATTAAAGTCCGATTCTTCAAAGAACATCATCAAGAAAGTGAAAAATATTTGAAAATCACATATCTAATAAGGTAATCATATTTCACATATATGAAGAACTCTTATAACTCAATAATAAAAGACAACCAATTTAAAAATGGGTAAAGATTCTATATAGATGTTTTTCTGAAGAAGATTATACAAATGGCCAATATGCACATGAAAAGGTGCTCAATATTATTAGTTGTTAGACCACAAATAAAATGCCACACTTCACACCCAGTAGTATAGCTACAATGAAAAGGCAGACAACTGGCAAAGATGTGGAGAAAATGGAACTCATGAACTACTATAGAAATGTACAAGTGTGATCATTTTTGGAAACAGGATTTTGGTTCCTTAAAATCCTAACTGGAATTGCCATATGACCCTCCACTAATTCCACTTATAGGTAGGTATCCAAGAGAAATGAAAACATTTGTGCATTCTTTTATAGCTGGTTTCTTTTGCTTAACATGTTTTTAGAATTGTGGATGGGGATCAGATTTTTGTGTTTGTTTGTAAAACCTTATATACCAATGTTCACAGCAGCATTATTCACAATAAACAAAAGATGGAAACAACCCAAATTTCCATTTACTGATGAATGGATAAACACAATGCTGTATATCCATATATTGAGCAATAAAAAGGAATTTAAGTATTGATATATGCTAAAACATAGATAAAGCTTGAAAGCATGCTCTGTGTAAGAAGACAGGCACAATGGCATATGATATATGATTCCATTTATATGAAATATTAAAAAATTGGTGAATCTACAGAATTCACCAATTAACGGTTTGTTAGAATTTGGAATGAGGTGGGAAAATTGGAGGGGGACAGATAAGGATATTAGGTTTCTTTTTGTGGTGATGAAAATATTAAAAATGATTGAGAGTATGGTTGCACAACTCTGAATATACTAAAATCCAATTTAACTGTACATGTTAAGTGGGGGAATTGTATAGTATGTGAATTACATGTCAGTACAGCAGCTTTTTGACAGGTTGGGAATATATCTTGGTGGTAAATCACATGCTTAGCATATGCAAAGCCTGGTGCCAGGCATGGTGGTGCATCCCTGTAATCCCAGGGGCTCGAAAGGCTGAGGCAAGAGGATCCCAAGTTCAAAGCCTGCCTCAGAAAAGCAAGGCATTAAGCAACTTAGTGAGACCCTGTTTCTAAATAAAATACAAAACAGGGCTGGGATATGGCTCAGTGGCCAAGTGCCCCTTAATTCAATCCCCAGTTTCCACCCCCGTGAAATGCCCTGGGTTTCTTTCCCATTGCAACAACAACAAAGCTGTTATTTTTTAAATTTTGCCTGAAACATAGTATTCAATGAATAAGAAAGTGAACAAATAAAAGAATTAATGAATGGACATATATCAAATGTGAAAGAATATGGTTTTGGAGGCAGAAATGGTTTTAATTTCAACTTTGCCATTTACTAAGTGCTGGATCTCACTGAGGTTTTAGTGAACCTAGTTAGGAATAATAATGAGATAATTGCTATAAAATGTTCAGCCCAGTAGGAAAAGTCCCTGCTGCTCATTAGGAATCTAGCAGAACAGACTACATTAAAAGCAAAAATCAGTGCAACAATAGTAATAATATTTTAGCTAAGTTGGGTAGTAAGCGTGTGGATGTTCATTTTATTATTACTCTTCATATTCACATAGCATGTATTCTTTTGCATGTAATCAAATATCACATATCTTTAAAAACTGATCATAGGCTAGAGATGTAGCTCAGTGGTGGAGTCATGCTTAGCAAGCATGAGGTCCTGGGTTCGATCCCCAGCACCAAAAAAGAAAGAAAAGAAAATATCATAAAATAAAACAAAGAACAACAATGAAAAATATATAATGCCAGAGGACCAGATTTTTACTTCTTCATTACTTCATGATTTAGACAATACACATAGTTTTTTAGAAAGGACAATGTTATAGTTATTTCCATGGCAACAAAATTTCCCTCTCCCCTATCTTCAAGAAACTTAAAGTCTAGGTCTTAGCTAACTGACTTGGTGATGCACATCCGTGATCCAAGCGGCTCAGGAGGTAGAGGCAAGAGGATCGTGAGTTCAAAGCCAGCCTCAGCAATTTAGCAAGGCACTAAGCAACTCAGTGAGACCCTGTCTCTAAATAAAATTCAAAATAGGGCTGGGGATGTGGCTCAGTGGTCGAGTGTCCCCGAGTTCAATCCCTGGTACCCATTGAAAAAAAAAAAAAAAAAAAAAGCCTATTGTTCAGTTTCGGTCATTTCTTCCAAATTAACCTGTATTAGGTACAACTTTAAAATTGGATAATTTTTGGAAGAAGATCAGAACTCTTCTCACAGGTAGTACTGACAGCACTCAAACACCTTCAAGGACACTGTACTTGTATCATCGATACCTCAGATAGTGAGAACTCTCAGGAACAGGATGTTACGCAGCTACTTGCTTCCCAGTGTTTATAATCCAGGAAAGAGTATCTTGTATCCCATAGTGCCTGGTATTCTATAGTTTCACCCTATATGTCCAAGACTTTATTCTCTGTTGAAATTTATCAAATTTTGGAAGAAATAGTCATTTACACTGTAGTATGAATTCATCAGTAAAAACTCAATAATTGCATTTTCTTTCATCTCTGAATAAAGACATTTAAAGTTGGAAGCAGAAAATGTTCAAGGTAAAGAACTGCAGACACCCTAATCATTCTGCCTAGAGCCCAACCTAACTATTTCCATCCTGTTAATTTCCAGCTAGACAATTCATTAAAGCTTCCAGAAATGAGTCATGATTAAGTAAGAGATTTAGAATGTCAGCACAATCCTCAAGATTTAAACAGAAATCCTTAGAAGTTCAAATCTATAAATGGGGTCCATACCCAGGAATAAGAAAGGAACCAAGTTATCTGATTATAATTTAATCTCTTAGGTCACATGTCAGACATGGGAATAGGTCGGTTTTATGGCCAAATCCTCCATCACAAATAGAAACAGAAATAATTAGCTCTATGGAAATATTTATTTATTTATTCATTTATTTATGCATGCATGCATGCATGCAGTACTGGGGATTGAACCCAAGGTTTCACACATGCTAGATGCTTATTCTACCACTTAGAAAAAAAAAGGGCTGGGGTTATAACTATTTTATTTTGAGATGGTTTCACTGTGTTGCCCTGGCTGACCTCAAACTTGCAATCATCCTTCCTTAGTCTCATGAGAAGCTGGTATTATAAGGAATATTGGACAGAAAGAGCATGACTTAGGTTTCTGGTAAATGTATGCACATGCTGTGGTAAAAATGAATTAGGAAACTCCTTAACCAAATAGAAGCTAACCACTTAGATAAATATTTATAATTTACAAAGTTTACCTCACTAGATGAGAAACAATTAGAGTGTCTAGTGGGGATAGAGAGGAGAAACTACAAGTTTGGTGATCCACCTAGGCAAGAGTTTTATTTTTGTCCATTTTTTATCCTCAGAATGCATTGCTCAGAATGTATACAAGAAACATACATGTAAACACACACACATACCCAAATCCACCTCTTTTATTAGAACTTTGGGTGCAGAAAGGTAAGACTTAGTATGTGTTAGGCTGACAAATCTCATCAAGGAGAACCTGAATAACCTACCTCTATGAGCCAGGGGGCATCTTTTCTGAATTAAAACTTCATAGGTCATTGACCTCATCACCTCAGGCTCAGCAACTAAAAAAGTTTTAGTGAAGACTGCCTGCCAATTCAGCTAGAAGTTATTTACACTTTCAGGAACAAAATGGATTAAAGAAGTAGGAAACAAATTACATTCTCATATGTGAAACAAATACCAGAAGTAAAATTACTTGAGTTGTAATTTAGATATGATAATTGGCCTAAATCAAACATAAAGCTTATATTTTTAAGACAGAAGCCCTTGTGCTGTAAGTAAGTATAATCTGAACCTTTAACTTTAGAATTTTTATCAATAGCTGCAATATAGTTTCAGAAGCTGGCCACACCCTTCTGTCCCTTAAATAAGGAAAATTATAATTGTACTGCAATTGCTTACTTACACCTAAAATATAAAGGTTCAATTAATTAGTCACCTCATACTTAAAAGGTCCAGTCGATATAAATATGTGATAACTCTACTCAATGCTATTTTTCCTGTGATAGTTAAGAATAATAAGAATCAGGATTTTTAAAAGTCTGTAAGGTTATGCTTCAGAAACTTCTAAGAGAGCTGATGAAAATAATATCTCTTTTCTGTCCTCAAAACCACTTAGATTACACAAGAAAATTAAAAAATCATTCCACATGAGAAAACCTGCTTTGAATCACTTGAGTTCAAGGGAAATGGCACTCAGTTATCATACCCTGCATGCAAAAAATATTAAAGGAATATAATTGCCACAAGAAACACCCAGGATTAATACTTACACAACCTCCAGCCAGGATTTCCGCTGGAAGTGGAATAGAGCCATCTCTTCTGGTAAATTTGTCTCGGACAAAATCATTAACCTAATTAGAAAGATAACATGTCAGTTAACCAGAATTCCCAACCATTTCCTCTACTGTTGCTTTTCCAAGTCAGCAAAATATTTGTCTCATGATAAAATTATTTAATTTGCCAAAGGTTTACATATAAATGTAAAGTTTTACAAGTGTCTTGATAGTGTACCAGTCTCAGCAGCATCAATTTTAATTTTTAACTTAATCTAAATAAATGGCAATCTAAATAAATGACTTAAGTTTGGAGAGAAAGAAACTTACAGTTAATTTAATGGCCTTTTCTGGAGCAACTCCTATTAGTTGTGGTATCAGACCTAAGTAAAGAGAGAGAATCAATAGCAATATAAATTACTAAATACTTATACAAAAGCCCAAGAAGGAAGTGCTTTCTTCATACTATTTACCCAGCAAACATTTTAGAGTTTTAATTAAAATGGGGCAAAGTGATTACCCTAAAAACTCTATACATGTATGTAATAATCATTTACAAGTCAAATATAATGTCATGTTTTCTTGAGGCTATAAGTCCTTTTCTTAAACATGCTTTGTTAAAAGCCTAGCTATCTAGTACCTTCTAAAAAAGTACAGGAGGAAAGAATAGAGTCTACGGGATTTCTCTACTCTGGGAATACTGCCAATAGCAACAGAACCAAATTCCCTCCCTTGTTACAACCAACAATATACAAACATATACAGACACTTTATGGAAGTTAATGCTGTCTACCTGGAAAATCTCTGAATAGTGTTTTGTTAAGTACACCCAAATTTTACAAAAAATAATGCTATTGACATAACAGCCTACAGTAACTTGATTATTATAGAATACCAACTCCCATAATTTTCTCTTAAGAGAAATACAGCATTCAGTATTCATCTATTTAAAAGGAAGCCACAACTGTAAAGAAAAATGCAGTTTCTAGTATTATCTGATGAATATTTTCTATTAAAAAAATGCCTTTTATATTTGCATTTACTAACATGTGTCAACCTTAAGACATTTTAAAAGAAACCCCTCAAAACAAAAGAAACTGTTATTCTTAGAAAGTTAAATTTCCCAGGCAGGTTGCAAACTAGAAAAAAAAAAAAGTATAAATGATTCAACATCTGTAGATATTCCAAGGGTTCAGCTCTCTAAAGCACACAGCTTATCCAAATTGTTAGCATACATTTTTTTAAAAGATGCTAACAATAAACATTGTATATCCTTAAGTCATTCAGCCCAGGGAGTTATATATGTGTTTGTATGCTCACTCACTGCTGATCTTAAGCCTACTGATGTTCCATGAGTTGAGAGCCAGCAAATAATCATGCATACAGGCTACTGTCAGCCAAACTGAATTATCAATGGCAAACACAAATCTGCACACACCTTTCATGGATAGCAGAATGATTTAAAAGAATGAATCAGCAGATGGCAGTCTTAACTTTCTAACTCTCATGATTATCAGGCCCTATTATTTTTAATCTAACTTCCACACAACCATGCCAGCATGGGTATTTGTTTTACAACTTGCCACACTAAAGCTTGTGGAATTTTAATAAAGTACTGACTTGTGTCATGTTATCATTGTTGCCTGCAAAGAAATTTAGTTAATCTGTCAACAATTTTGTCAATCATCTGACAAAATAATGGACCAGCTCTAAACAATATATGACAATCTCAATAATCACAGTGCTCACATACAGAACTTCTAGAATCTTCTCCTTAATACAAAAATCTCTCATTTAAGGACTGAGTTTATCAGTTTATATCCCAAATAGAGCCAACAATCTCTTCCCCCACTTACTGTGTTGCACCCATTTAATTAGTATGGTATCTCTTCCACATGAAATCTTGGCCAGGTACAGTGGCTCATACCTGTGTGCCCCAGTGGCTCAGGAGGTTGAGGCAGGAGGATTACAAATTCAAACCAACCTCAGCAATTTAGTAAGGCCCTAGCAACTTAGTGAGACCCTGTCTCAAAATTTAAAAGAAAGAAAGAACGAAAGAGAGAAAGAGAGAAAGAAAGAGAGAAAGAAAGAAAGAAAGAAAGAAAGAAAGAAAGAAAGAAAGAAAGAAAGAAAGAAAGAAAGAGAGAGAGAGAGAAAGAAAGAGAGAAAGAAAGAGCTGGGATGTAGCTAAGTGGTTAGGTGCCCCTGGGTTCAATCCAAAAAAGAAATCTTCTGTGAACATTTATCCTTGGAAAGGCTAAACCATGCATTATATATCCAGGTTTCTTCTAATTAAGAACATTCTTTTTGTAGACTAAGGAAGAGAAAGGTCATTTTTCAACAATGAAAAGATTGGTGATGTCAAAGAAAAAAACAACCATAGTGCCACGCAACTGATTCCCATTAAATAAACTCTAGACATACAGGGCTTAATCAGTTTAAAACAAGCTTTCACATGGGCAGATCTACTTTTGGGAGAATGCACACCTCTTCTCATGGAATATACGCTGTACAACCAGAATTTAAAGAGGCTACAGTTGTGAATTTTTTTAATTTTTTATATTAAATTTTTTTTTAATTTTTATTAATATTTTGAGCAAAATTAATTAGGTTTATTCTCAAGAATGGGGTATTCGAGTGCAGTTTGAATTCAAAATAACTCTCTTCTCTTATTCTATAAATGCCAAAAACCAAACATCTTCATCATGCTCTCCTTCAAATAAGTGTTAGTTACATTCTTAACTTGAATGCTTAAACATAATGCTAATTAGAGGTATTTTTTCTTCTGTCCATGAGCCTATAGCTTTTTTATCTAAGTTTTTTTTTAAATACATTTTTCTAAGTTGTAGATAGCCACAGTGACTTTATTTTATTTATTTATTTTATGTGGTGCTGAAGATCAAACCCAGTGCCTCACATGTATAAGGCAATTGCTCCACCACTGAGCCACAACCCCAGCCCCAAGCCTACAGCTTTGCTCAGGCCCAATCTTTCTTTCCTAGGAAGAAGTTCTAAGCCAAACAGTTCAACAAAGCTCAGAATGAGCTTAGGAATTAATAAGCCTCTATGTGCAAACAAACAAGTACAGTAAAGTACATAAATATTCTGGACTTGAGCATGTTGAGAGTATTTTCAAAGAATTCCATGTGGCGCCCAAATGGATTAAAAAATTGATCCCCCCCACCCCCGACAAAGGAACTGTAAATTCTAATGTGAAAACATGTCCATGAAAGCCATTCTCTTTCCAAAGAGAACAAGTTCCTACAAAGCTGATGGGGGCTGGGGAGGATTCCGCACGGAGCTGCAGCCTCTGATGCTGATAGCACTGTGCTCAGTGCAGAGTTGGTGGTAACATTCCTGCAAAAGAAAATCTCTGCTATGACTGTGTGCCTCTAATCTCAGAGGTGGAAAGGAGCAAGAATGAGACTTAGAGCCAAAGGGCTTTCTACTGTTTTTTTCTTAAACTCCAGTGAACCACTGGATAAGACTTATAGAAACTGTCTCTTCAGAAGAAACAAAAATATTTTATATTTCTTTTAGTTGAAGCAAGTGCATTGAACGTAAACTCATCTTCAAGTAGAGCCTAGCTTCTTTGAGAAAAGAAGCTATATTTTAGCTTCCATCCCTGTGTTCCACCTGCAGACATGTGCCTTAGTTTGTAAGAGCATGGTGATATAGACTCATGTTGGCACAAACACAAGATTTAGATTACAAGAAGTATAAATAGAAGGAAGAAGACAGAGGTCTTGTCTGCAGATTAATATTGCTAGTCACCAGAAAGAATGTAAAAGAGGAAAATGAGCAAAGAGAAAACAGAGAGGAAGACTAGGTAGGCTACATACTGGTTTCCATAATAGTTAAAATCTGCTGCTGGGCTGTGGCTGTGGCTCAGTGGTAGAGCACTTGCCTGGCATGTGTGAGGCCCTGGGTTCGATTCTCAGCATCACATATAAATAAGTCATAAATGAAGAAATAAAGGCCTATCCATAACTTTAAAAAATATTTTTTAAAAAATCTGCTGCTGGTGAGACAAGATCTCTACCTTTAACTGCTGCTGAGATTTGCTTACCCCGGTAGAGTCCAAAGAAGCCCTCATAACGCAAGACTTTCTTAAAACAGTCAAAGCTGTTTTTATACATCAGCTCCCCAACAACAGAGCCAGTGCCACGCTGGTTTTGCATCCGGGTCTTCACCAGATCTATAGGATACACTGCGGTGGCTCCCACAGCTACAAACAGAACAAGGTTTAGTCTTTAAAAAGCACACAATTAAATATAGAGTCTATAAGGACAATAAATCTCATCTGAAAGGGTGAGGATATAAAATATAAGATCTATTCTTATAAAAGAGACTTATTCTCCCATACATAGCTAAAGGATGGCAGACTAACAACCACTGGAGGCAATAAAAAGAACTGCTTCAGGGAACAACTGTCAAGAATGATCTTTGATATCTTAGCTTCATAAGTTGAAAAGTAGATTATCAAGTCATCACCACTATCAGATAATTCACACTCAATTTCTCATAAAAACAACATTAAAATATTATGTATAACAATTCTTTATATTTTTCCATTAAATGTTATTACTGCAGTTACATCTTTTAAAAAATATTTTTTAATTATACATGGACACAATATCTTTATTTTGTTTATTTTTATGTGATGCTAAGGACCAAATCCAGTGCCTCACATATGCGAGGCAAGCACTCTGTCACTGAGCCACAACCCCAGTCCTACATCTTAATAATTATAAAATGACTATATATGCAAACCAAGTGGCTGTACTTCTAAAATCAAGTATACTAAAGCATTTTGGTAAATTAATCTTAGTTATAACCATAATATTGGAAACAAATTTCAACACAATACTATCCCTACATATAGAATTTGATTTTTTAAAAAATAAGGCCATGCTTTAGAATTTGTCAGGAAGTGAAATATTTATTACATTAGCCATAGTATTGTATTTTTGTCATTTGAAACCCAAACATGCTTTATGACTTCTAAAACTAAGACTGAAAAAAAAAATACTAGTCTCATAAGTTCAGGCTTGTTTTGAAAAATCATAAACATTTTAATCACACCTGCTAGACACCTTCAACAAAGTGACTACACATTTTCTTTGCAGAGTATTCAGCAAAAACAATCTCTTTAAATTTCTGCTGGGAGCAAGGAAGGGAAGGGAGATTCCTTTTAGCAAATAAACTGTAAGTTTAGATAGTTTTAAGCCAGTGAAAAAAGAAAGAAAAAAATATAAACATAAAAGCAAAAGTGAAATCACTTTGAGAGGTTGTTTTGTTTCATGAGGTTCTGAGTTTATATCACAAATCTTGATTTCCTACCTGCCCCTATGCCATAAATTTGGTCTTATTCTCCATTTTTTTCATACTGGCCTTCACCAGTATAATTAAGGTGAGTACAGCACTGCATCTCAGACTTTCACATCAATACAGAGAGAGGTTTTATTCTGAAGACAGACTGGAGCCAGAGGGGCCACAGCCATGTTATGACAAGTCCTCTGATCATAGGTAAAAATAAAGAACACTTCAGAAAGCCCTGCAGTCCTGACCTCTGGGAACAATGAACTGCACCTTTGCTGATCTGCCCCAGTCTAGTGAGATAATATTACATTAACACAAGCCTGAAACAGCACACAGACATGTCACTCACCTCCAGCAACTGAGCCCAGAGTAAATCTGTAAGCGGACTCGGCAATCTGGAGCCAGACAGGCCTGCCTAACCCAGGAGATTGCTGTAGGGAAGAAGAAAACATGTAAAAAATTTTGGAAAAATGTACAGCAAATTTAAAAAAGCAAGAATTTGTCTATTTCAAGATAAAAAAACAAAAGTAAAAGCAATATGGTTAATGAGGTAACATCTTTGAAAAAAAATAAGATATTCATGTAGTCAAAAATGGTAAAAAATTATTTTTAAAAAATACTTCAAAAGGAAAGAAAGTGAAATGAATCTGAAATAATTTCCTATACACATACATGAAAACATCATAGTGAATTCCACCATCATGTACATCCACAAGAAAGGAATCCTAATTAGAATATGATATATTCCGTGCTTGTATAATTATATCAAAATAAACTCTACTGCCATATATAACTAAAAAGAACCAATTAAAAAAAAAGAAAAAGAAAGAGCCCCAGATATAATTACTGGTGCATACAATTATTTATATCATTTGGTTATTAAAATTTCTATATCAAAATAAAGATACTATGTAATAAAAAAAACTATAAAAAATTAAAAACTAAAAATAAGTACTTCTATTATTAACATTTAAAAAACATATCTAGAGTCTCCGGTAGCAGCTTTGTAGATTCCAGTTAAGCAGTCAGTGAAATTGAGTAAGAATAGATTTATGATCTTATTAAAAATATATATATATCTGGCAAAATACACAGCTTTTTTCTTCCTATCTGTTTACAAGCCTATTAATGCCTCATTTATTGGCTACTATTGGGGAATACACCATTAATCTCTAGAAGTGAATCTCTTAGGTAAATAAACATTTCAGGGGTTTTGTTTTTTTTTTTCTTTTTGGTACCAAGAATTGAAGTCACATCCCCAGCCCTTTTTGTATTTTATTTAAAGACACGACCTTGCTGAGTTGCTCAGGGTCTTGCTAAGTTGCTGAGGCTGGCTCTGAATTACAATCCTCCTACCTCAACCTCTGGGATTTTAGGCCTGTGCCAATGTGCCAGGCCACATTTCAAGTTTCAAATTTTTCCCCCTCTAACTTAAAATTTTAAAACTTTCTCAAATGCATAAAAAATTACCTTGATTCCTAAATCAGAATATTGATCATAATCTAATATCTGTAAAGACTACTGTCCTAATCATATTCAATTCTAACAAAATCTATGAAAATAAAAAGGAAAAAATCCTATGTAATACAGAATACTATTTCACAGGTATCCTATAACATAAAAGACCTGAAATAATTTGTCTATATCAGTGTGTCAGTCTTATTCTTTTTTAAAAAATATTTTTTAAATTTGTCAATGAAACTTTATTAATTTATTTACATGTAGTGCTGAGAATCAAACCCAGTGCCTCACACATGCTAGGCAAGCCCTCTACCACTAAGCCACAACCCCAGCGCTCAGTCTTATTCTTTAATATTTTATGAAAATAATCTGCTATACTACATAGGAAACAAGGAATAAAATATTCACTTTCTCATAAAGAAAACTCGAAAAACGTTAGCTTGAAATGAGCTTTTTATAAAAGTATAAGGAGCTATGGATATAGTTCAGTGATAGAGTGCTTACCTAGCATGTTCAATTCTGGGTTTGAATCCCAGCACCATCAACAAATATATAATTCGATGAAAAACCATAATAAAAAGTTCAGATACTCTCTACTATATTATTTATATACACATAAATCTAAGTAATATACATTATAAATTATATAAAATACACATTTTAAACACATACAAAAATAGAAATGATTAAAATGAGAAACTGAAATGTTTTAAAATAATTTTATTTTTCATTTATTAATGCCAAAACGTTTTTGGTAATGCTTTAGCATACTTCATTTAGTTTTTTAAAGTGTGGGGGGTGTTGGGGATTGAATACAGGGTATTACCACTTAACTACATCCTTTTTATTTTATTTAAATTTTGAGACAAAGTCTAAGTTACCGAGGCTGGCATCCACCTGGCTCTCCTCTTGCTTCCACCTCCAGAGTAGCTGGGATTATAGGTGTTCCACACAATGCCCAGCTTTCTCAAATGTTGATGGAACATTTTGTATATAGTGAGTCTAACCAACTAATTTTGATACTTTGTTTCAAAGACAAGAATTAAAAACAAACAAAATCCATTCCTTCAAAGCAATGATATTTAACATCACATATAAATTCAACTTAGAGTATCCCTAAGTGTCCCTCCAAAATTCATGTATTGAAACCCTAAACCCCGGAGTGAGAGAGAGATGAAAACTTTGGGAGATAATTAGATCATGAGAGTGAAGACCTCATGATAAGATTTGCGCCCTTATAAAAAGAAACAACTAGTGCACATGCAGGCGCACGTGTGCGTGCGCACACACACACACACTCTCACTCTTTCTCTTTCTCTCTCTCACTCTTTCTCTTTCTCTCCCCCCCCCCTCTCTCCCCTCCCCACCCCAGGGTCCCCGCCATAAAGAAGATATAATGAGAACACTGCCATCTACAAACCAAGAAAACAATCCTCAACAGGAATTGAACAGAATTAAATGGCAACTTTGACTTCCTAGCCACTATGAAAAATTAACTTTGTTGTCTAATCTACTCAGTCCATATTAGTTAGTTATGGCAGCCCAAACATACCAAGGCAGGCATTTTGCCTTAAATTTAACAACCTTTTAAAATCAATATAGCTGTTATGTTATATATTAAACACACAGCATATTTGTAACTTAAAAATATGCATATGTCAATGGTAGAGAGCTTGGAAAGTATGTAAAGGGCCCTGGGTTTTATTTCCAGTACAAAAAAAAAAAAAAAAAAAAAAACCAAAAACATTCATATAAAATTTTTTCTTCCAAAACTCCAAAACTGGAGTTTCTTCAACACAAATTTAGATGAAGAGAAATCTCACTCTCATAGATTTTATTTTCAATCATGTGTTCTCTCAAAAAAAATACAAAGTTAAAATTCATAAATAAAAAGGCTATGATCCTAAACAACCACTAATTCCACTATTCATATAAAAGGTTTCTCTTGTATTCAACCACATATATTTTTCTTTTCCCTCTCTTCTTTCAAAGAATGTTTCTATAAACCCTAAAAAATCCTATCAAAACTGAGGAATTATATTGTGCTTTAATTCTTAACTAAAATATCTCAAATCATAAATACCCAAATGCCTTTTGACCAAAATGTCACCTTCATCCCTATTAAATAGCATTTATAAGAAAACATACAGTATATGGTAACCAAGAATTTTTTCTTAAGGCTTAGTTTATTAGTATAACTTATGGTTCACTTGCATTCAGTTATGTAAATTAATATAATTAATGCTATAGATTTCGCATCATGAATATTCATAAGCAGAATGCTACTACAGCTGTCATCCCTATTAATGACTATGTACTGAATTTTTAGCATTTAGGCTGAAAGAAAATATTCAGCAATAAGATGATCACCTACTGTGATCAAATGGGCCAAAGGAAAAGGCACTCTTTACCTGAAGGTTACGATTATGATCATGAAGGCTGGTATTTAACAAGGTTAATTAAGTGTTTTTCAAAGCAAAACAAGAGTTGAGAATCTTATATGATTTTTAACTGGCTCCCTAAGCATACATGTATGATAGGGAATAAGACCTCATTTTGAGACCTCATTTATTTAAAGAAAAACTCTTTTCCTGTTTTTATTAAATGTACCTCATCCTATAAAGGGGGAAAATAAATGAGAATTAAGACAAGATCATGTCAGTTAACATTTAATCACTAATGCATGATCTCAAAATTGTTACACACTAGTTAACATGAATGCCTTAGAATTTCTTATAAATCTGAAATATGTAAACAGAAGAAAGTTTTCTTCAAGACTGAAAATTCGCTGGGCATGGTGGCCATGCTTATAATCCCAGCAGCTTGGGAGGCTGAGGCAGGAGTTCAAAGCCAGCCTCAGCAAAGGCGAGGCTGTAAGCAACTCAATGAGACCCTGTCTGTAAATAAAACACAAAATAGGGTTGGAGATGTAGCTCAGTGGTGGAGTGCTCCTGAGTTCAATCTGTGGTAACCTCCCCTCCCTCAAAAAAACCCTGAAAACACAAGAGACTATTACCTTGGTTGTTTAAGAACTTAGCCATGTTTTTACATTATTCTACTTGAGTCCTATCATGTATTCCTTACAAAGTGTTAAATGCTACAAAGAAGGGTGAATTTTGAATTCTGAAAATAAAATCCAATGACTCACAACATTTCACAGAATGCAGGAGCTTAAAGGATTCTTGGAAATATTTGAAAAACTTTGTATCAGATCCTAAAGATAGTAAAGGTCAGATTTCACAACAGACATGAATGGACATTCATTTGAATTCTTTTTTTTTTTTTTAATTGGTGCTGGGATTTGAACCAGAGCCTCTGCTGGTTCAAATATCCTCAATCCTTCTTAAAGTCATCATAAATCTATTTCTATAAAATTGTGATATTTATTTATGTCTTTTATTGCATTTTAATTTCCTGGGTAATTTTATAATAATTTAAATGGGAAAAACATTTAAAATCTTAATTTTTTTAATATTTATTTTTTAGTTGTAGTTGGACATAACACCTTTATTACATTTGTTTATTTTTGTATGTGGTACTGATGATCATGAACCCAGGGTCTCACACGTGTGAGGCAAGCACTCTACTGCTGAGCCACAACCCCAGCCCTAAAATCTTTTTTTTTTTTTTTTTTTTTTTTAAGATGTAATGGACACAACACAATGCCTTTATTTTTATGTGGTGCTGAGGATGGAACCTGGGTCCCGTCCGTGCCAGGCAAGAGCTCTACCGCTGAGCTAAAATCCCAGCCTCAGCCCTAAAATCTTAATTTTTATTTCTTTATACATAAACCTTCAGTAGTAAGACTACCTAAATTATGTGAGATATAAGACTACCTAATTTATGTGAGATACAAGAGGAAAAACAAAAAATGCAGGCTCTGAGATTCTTCCCATGAGGAACAATGCAAGAATACCCAAGAACTCTACCTGCTCTACAGAGATTCCAGAACCCTATATCATCCCAGGTTTAGGGAAAAGGCAAAGCAGCACCCAACTACCTCTCTAGAGAACCAGAAAAGAAGGAAGCAGTGGTGCTTATTACCTAAGCATCTAAAAAAACCCCTTGAAGCCACCCATGTCAGCATTAAAAGCATCAAATCAGCACTGCCATTGAAGGCATCTTGTATCTGCCTTGAAGAAAATACATACTAGGAGCAGGATTTCATCATCTTCCTAAGGACAAAGAATTATAAAGGATACAAAACAAGTTTCAGTTTTGGCTTCTAAGGAAACTGCTGGGAGCAAAAGAGGTGAGTAAAGAGCATGAGCAGCAGAAAAGCCAATGAAGGGCTGGAATTGTGGCTCAGTGGTAGATCGTTCACCCAGCACACACGAGTCACTGGGTTCCATCCTCAGCACCACATAAAAAGCAAAGATATTGGGCTGGATTGTAGCTCAGTGGTGGAGCTCTTGCCTCGCATGCATGAGGCTGTGGGTTCGATCCTCAGCACCACATAAAAATAAATAAAAATATAGATATTGTGTCCATCTACAACTAAAAATTATTTTTAAAAAATTAAAGATATCGTAACCATCTACAACTAAAAAATACACATTTTTTTAAAGAAAAAGTCAATGAAGGAGGAAATGAGCTAAAACTTTTAAACTCAGTTTATATTGTTTTTTTTTTTAAGATTTTTTTTTTAATATTTATTTATTTATTGGCGGACACAACATCTTTGTATGTGGTGCTGAGGATCGAACCCGGGCCGCACGCATGCCAGGAGGGCGCGCTACCGCTTGAGCCACATCCCCAGCCCAATATATTGTTTTTAATAAGCTAAATGAAATATTCCCCAATTACAAAGATTAGGGACACCTCCAAGGACCGCAATAATAGACATATTACACCATAAGATAGCTCCTTCCAAATAAAGTTTTTTCAAAATCCAAGAGCAAATTTTCACAAATGTATACAAAATATAAAATTGAATACAGAACTCTTTAAATATTTCAATGTCTTAAACTTTTTATAATTTTATAAAATTTTATTTTAAAAAAATCACTGAATTTGAATAAATCCATCTATTTTTAAGAATCTGATAACTCGAGATGGAAATAAGTTTTGATGACATCAGGACTTTCTTAGTACAAAAGAAGCTAAACTGTAATGAGCTACACATTCATTTTAATCTGTAGGAAGCTTTATTATACACCAAGCACACAACTAAAGTATTACCATAAAATGTAGATATAAAAGCTCTTTTTTCCATTTTCAGTTTGCTTCAACTGACCACAAAAGTTCTTATTCATTATATAAAGTGAACATGGAAATCCTAATTTCAGAGGCAGAATATCATTCCATGGAGCTCAAATAAAAGAAAAAATTTTCCACCAAATCTTCCCCAAAGAAACCATACTTAAATGCCTTGATCCCTTACTTACCTATTTGGTGAAGGTGAATCAGGTAAGCCCATCCCTGGCTACTCATCAATGTGGCAACAATAAAGAAAAGTAGGCATAGGTCTTTTCTTCTTACCTACCTGCTTCCCCCAACTCCTGTCATTCCATTCCTCAGAAACCCTCCCCAACTCCTAGCCTAGGGTGGCACAGCAGTCTCCTAAAGAAGTACAAGGGCCACAGGTCCCATCTGGGCCATAGCAAGGAAATCTCAGGAAGACAAGGATGGCCCTCCTGACCCTCACCCCCACACCAACCCACAGGATCTTTGGCTACAACTGAAGCTTCCTCTAAGGGCTACAGAAGTAGAGGTTTCCATTTAAAACAAGATTTATTAAAAACTGTTCTATTCTACTCTTCAAGGTCATTTCATGTGCTTTTTTTTCCCCCACCAAGATAGTTATTTGTAAAATCAGAAGTAGAACTATATTAACTTTATAGGATGCAGAAGCTATTTTTGAATTATCCTTAACATTAAAAACTTGTATTACTAAAAATGTAATAATAGTCAAGGTTTTCTTTCTGGTTCATTAATTAGGTACATTTCCTTTTTTCTTATTGTAATCTATAAGGCATGATTCCAGTAAGAGATTAATTTGAGAAATGTTTTGTACTTTAAAAACCCTATAAAATAACAGTTTAATGGTACAAAATGAACCTAACACTAATCTTTAAAGATGACTAGACAAATGAAGTGAAAAGAATGCTAATTCTAATGGAAAGCAGCCCGATCCCATCTATGTTTGAATTCTTACTTTCTTTACCTCAAAAAGTTGAAAGAACAAAACAAAAACATAAACATAATAATGCCATAAAAATATTCTGTAAGGATGAGAGTAATAGTTAAATAAAGGTAATCTTTAAGTAAAATCCTCCTACAGAAAGCTTTAAATTTTCACAGCAATCTGAAGCTTTAGGTTTGTCATGTACATATTATTTCAGTACAGACTATTTCTACCTGTCTCTGAAGTTCTGCCAGGTTGAAAGGCAAGGCCCCCTCAGCCAATGGGGCTATTCTCTCAATATCTGCTAAGGTCAAGCGCCTTAAGAGAAAAGGGAAAGAAAGGATTATTAGACAGTGACACACTGCTCACAACAAGTGAATCTTTCCTTAAAAACAAAACAAAATTATTTCCCTATTCACACAGATCAGATAATTCTTGTGAGGAAAAAAAAAAATTCTTCAGACTTTGTTTATAAGAATAAGCTATAGACTTCAGAGAAATAATGTTGGACTGTATTAATGATAGATATTAACAGTGAAGAAATAATTCTTGCCAGAAGCAAAGTATAAACACTGACAGCACGTGCATATGCAATACATCCCTCTCAGTATATCTATTAATGAATAGGTGCAAAGTATCCTGGAAGAAAATTTAAATGCAAAACTGATAAATATTGGTTGCCTTTAAAGAAGGGCACAAGGGTAAGAGAGAGACTTTTTTTGTTGTTTTTTTAACAGTACATTCTTTTAGATCCTTTGAATTTTGAACCATAAATGCAGTATTATTCCCAAAATCTACTTTAAAATATGTATATTTCATGAACTAGCTAAAAAGACACTTTAGATCTAGTTTTGAGAAATACTTTGGGAAAGCATTTAATATCATGATGGACAATCAGAACCTCTGTCTAAAAATGTGAATTACAGATGAATGAGACATGGCCTGATATTTCATGTCAATCACCAAAGACAGCTAATACATATATTTAACACCATCCTCTCCAGTACAACAATTCATTATGAAGCATAACACAATAAATAAATCACCTATTATATATTGACCTTCCATTAGTCTTGAGCTCTAGGGTTAGAGTCCATTTTTCAGATACCGTTATACTTAACTATTAGAAGAGACTAAAAAAATTCAATTTTTTAAAAAATTGTTTTTATTAGAGTTTTATACTTATACAGAATAGTTGGGTTCATCCCAACAAACTCATACATGCTTGGAAACTGATTTCAGTTCATGATCCCCATCCTTTTCCCTCCCCTTTCACAATCTCCTTTCTCTATTCTACTAGAATTACTTTTGCTAGTCTATTAATTTGTATTTCATTGGTTCTTTATGCTATCCTACTCTTCTCTCCCCCTTTCCTTTGTTTTACTCTATATTCTGCATATGAGAGAAAACAATTTCTGTAAGTTCCCTTTCCACAGGTTTGCTGGGTACCATAGAGTTTTTCAGGGCTGGGGTTATGGCTCAGTAGCAGAGCACTCGCCTGGCCCATGTGAGGCACTGGGTTCAGTCCTCAGCACCACATAAGATAAAGAAAGAAAGAACATAAAGGATTGTGTCCATCTACAACTAAAAAAAAATTTTTTAAAGAGTTTTTCTTTCCTATTTTCATAAGACTTTGCAAAGTAAATACCTTCAATGTGCTTTGGGTTTTTAAAATTTATAAAACATCTGATTTTGGTGCTATGATAATAATGTCACAGGTATATTTCAAGAAAATGATACTCTTCAACACAAAATTTATTCAAAATGGTATATACTGTTCAGTAAAATGACCATTTATACCATTTGAGGTTACAAACTCCTCCATATACTTCAGCTTATTTTCATAAATATACACACTTAGGAAAATTTCCACAAATCTCTTGAAATTCATAATACTTTCAGAGAGCCAAGTTTAAATCAATCTTTTTCTTCCTTCTCCTTTCTATTCTTTCCCCTTTTCTCTCATTTTTTCCTTTCCCAATTTTCCTTTCTCATTCCCCTCAATCCTTTACTCCCTTCTCTCATCTCTCCTGTTCCATCTCTTCCTCCCCTTTCCATCCCTTTTTATCGTTTCTTCTCCTCACTGTTCTCTCTTCTTTTACCTTCCTCCATGTCCCTTGACCTTTTCTCTTCTTTTTCCTCCTCTATTTCTCACATCTGTGTGTTTCTTTTCCTTAAAATTTATATACTAAATAAAATATTGTTAAAAGGAACTGAAAACAGGGCTGGGACTCAGTGGTATAGCGCTCGCCTGGCATGTGAAAGGCACTGGATTTGATCTTCATCACCACATAAAAATAAAATAAGGGTATTATGTCCATCTACAACTAAAAAATACATATTTAAAAAATGAACTGAAAACAAACTACTATCTCACATTTTAAAGAACTGCCCTATAGTAAATACCATGAAGAATTACTGGAATAGTTACTAACCCCGAAGCATTATATAAGTCTGCAAGCTGGTATAGAATATCAATTTCTAGTGGAGTGACTTGTCCATAGCGTATGGCATTCTGGGCAAATTCCTCTGAAACAGAAAGGAAAAAACTATTAAAATCTTGAAATACTCTCCATATATAACAAATTTCTATCTTAACCAACTATAATAATCTGAACACTAAAGGAATTTTAGTACTATTTTAAAAGTCCAAAACTGAAATACTTGAATTCAACTACATAAGAATAACTATGTGTTTCTGAAGGCCAGTAAAAGATGAAATGTTAAGAGAATGAAACAGCAAAAACAGATAAATTAACTTTAATAATAAAATAATCTCTTTAGAATCCTCTCTTTCATCTTGTTTATCCAGTTTGGCCTCCAGAGTTACAAGATAAAAGAAGAGGCTGTTCTCCAGTCACCCAAAACATCCTATTACAATACACCAAGAGGAGTAGGCTTACTCATCTTTCTGTGGCAACTTCTTCCTATAACAAAAAAGCGGCTGCCACAGTGCCAATGACCTATTTGACAGATTGGGCTAAGGTTCTTTTCAAAACTGTCAAAGCCACTTTTCAGGATTCCATTAAATCCACCTGGATTTCTGGAGCAAAAGTGAAGCATGTGCATACATGGTAACACACTTGTCTAGATCTGGCTTTAGTATGGTGAACTTAGATCACTCTCTTGCCTAGATGATGAAAAGTAAAAAAATGCTGAGATTCAAGTCAATATTTTTAAATCTTACCCTTTGTGACCTCAATATCTTTCCTTGTGCCAGCTAAAGTGCTATATATCTTACGAACAAGTTCCATGTTATTCAGTAAGGAGTTAAATGCATTGAAGTAGGAGAAGCTAACTTGATGTGAGATACTTCCTCCAGCAGCCTAGGAAACAACAACACAAAAAATTTTATAAACAAAAACAAGAAGTGTGTTTTGGGCACCGCATTTTTCTCAAAGAAAATCCAAGGGGTCTTTGTCATTAAATTGATCAACAAATAGTACAGAAATACAAGGTATCATACTGAAACACTCAGTGCATTTCATGCCCTCAGAGAAGTCTACGTAATGTAGGTTTTAAGGAAGAAAGCCCCATCTGGAAGTTGGACTTCATGGTTCTACCTATAAGGTCAGAAACAACAAAAACAATTATCACAGATCAAGAATAATGGTTATTTAAACAGAATTTCAAGACCTTTGACTATAAAACTCCTGCTAGTCCTGAATAAATATCAATGTACAATACAAGAAACAGCATTTAAACTCGTTTTTATTTCCTCCACACACATACACAAAAACTATATGATAACTTTAATTTTTTTTGTAACCCAGCAACTTTAAATTTTAAGACAACTTCAATATATCAACTTTCCTAAAAAAATTTAAGCCCGCTGTAGTAATTGAGATTCTTAACAGTCTGTGCTGGTCTCTGAATCTATAGCACAAAAGGTACACTACCCAAAATATCAAAAAACGTACAGAAAAATCTGGTGAGAATTTAAGTGCTATTATTCCTTCAGTGAGAGAAATAAAAGAAACTCCCTCACGCTGCAATAGGGAGCAAGGTAGCCTTCATCACCTCTGCATTGTGAGGAAGTAATTTCTCCCTCTGCCCTCCACTTGCACAAAAACTCAGAAGACCCTAGTTTCCAAGTCAGAAGTCAGACTAAGCCACATGATTGAAAACATTCTCTATTAAAAACTCAAAGAATCATGGGGAAAAAAAAAAAACACATTTATTTAGAATCATAACAAATTTTTAAAAACCTCAAAGAAATGCTTATGGAAATACCAATGTAACAAAACTTAATCACAAAAGTGATTATTATGAACAGTCTAATAATGGTGAACAAATCACTCTCAACACCCCTCACATACCCAAATTAGATTATACTTGTATTAGCCTGAATTTGTATACCAGTGACTCAAAAGCAGGATTCAAATTTTTTAACATATGCCTCTAAGGACTAGAAATGTCCTTTGGTAAACTGAGGCCATAATATCCACCTAACCCAGATGGAAAATATTAAATGGGTCTCCCCCCACCCTAAGATAGAGTGAGCCCTTTCCTCTAAGATTATCTTTCCTTCTCTCCTTCCCTGTCTCCTCTTTCTTTCCTCCCTTTTTTCATTTTTTTTTTTTTAATTGGGGTATGAGGTAAAGGCAGGGGAGTGTGGATAGGTGTCAGGGAGGTGAAATATGTAGGAGAAACTGACATGCTCCATGTTCAAATTCATTGAAGAAAAAGAACAGAAGTTGATCTTTCTACCCCAGTCTAAACCAGGATAATGATCTTCAGCTGAAACAACAAAAGCATTCATTGGCTTCCCTCTTTTCAAAACAAGCAGTAATCAAAAACTTATATGCAAGTACAACACATGAATAAAAAAAATGGGTAAGAGAAGAAAGTTTCACCATTTTATGCGAGGAAGTAGATTACATGAGTTAGCTATTGGTCCAGATGATATAATCTGCAATTCTACAGAACAAAAAATTGTGCATAATATGTCAACACTGAATGAACAGGTGAAGGGGCAGAGAGGAGTGATCCACAAAGGCTGCTGGCCACATATTTCCTCCATACCTTCTGCCAAGGGAATGGTTATTAAAACAATGCAGAGGCCAATGGAGATCCTTTCAGCAGACAAAGGAAGAAGCCATCCTTATAACAAGACCTTGGGAGTCTGGTAGGGTGGAAAGAAGTCAAGAAGACAGCAGTGTCTGGGACAGGTAATGCTCACTGGAAGAAGTAACTACTCACCCTTGTCTACAAACTCCCATTTCCCTTGAACTGGACTCCATAAATGGAAATAAATAATTTAGAAATACGTGAGAACAAGATGATAGCTCTGAATAAAACTACAATCTGAGGAAAGACCACTCATCATTTCACCTCTATCTCCAAAACACACACACACACACACACACACACACACACACCGGTACCTATTTACCTTCTACCAACCCAGCATTAAGTTTGAATAGTTGAGTCATATGAGTACAGGGAGGCAATTTGGGACCCAATAGTTCAAAATGTTTTAGGAAATATAAAGTTAAAGTACTTGCTTTCTACTTACTGAAACTAAGTTTTCCTCCACAAAAGGAGTAAGCATGTGAGACCGAATGGTAATCATGATATCACTAAAATCCAGACCAGAAATCATGCCACTTTTGGTTTTGTCTTTCAGTGCAAAGGCTTGTCTTGCATGTTCCAGCTGCAGCTCCTAGAGGAAAAAATTTAAAATAGGGTATTAARTAGATTAAAGCACATCCCAAGTACATGTCTTAGAAAGGAGAGACAAACATTCTTCTGCAAACATGCGCTTATTACAGAAACAATATACAGCTCTGAAATTACTATGAAACTTTCAAATTTCATTTAAGAAACACCTTTTTCCTTAGAAACATACTACATATTACTCCTTAGGGAAAGGAATGAATTAGAGCTGGGCAATAACAGAAAGGAAAAAAAGAAACTTCAAATTATACTTGCAAAGTTTTCATCACTGAAATAACAAAGTAAGTACAGTGTTTTCAGTGCTTTATTTCAGCCTTTCAACTACACAGTAATTTATTATCTCCTACTTGTAGACTTTGTCATCCAAGAGTACTTCTTGTATTGAGTTTACATTCTGTTCAGTTTTTCAATTTTAAATGTTGCAATGAAAATTATACATGTTTTCTCTGAATTAACACCATTTATTCAAACATTTTAAAAAATAAACTCAGTGTAAAACTATACCAATCAGTAAATGCAATACTTCATAACTTTACAGCAAAAATTATGAACAACAAACTGTATAAGCAGTGTTCAATTATCACACTATAGGGTTTGGGGCACAGTTACTCACAAACTATGAAACAATCCAGAATCTCCCTGAACTTTTGAACTACCATGCAGTCAAACTTTGTAATAAATGACATCAATAAAAACAACAAAATATGCCAGTAATCCCCTGGGTTCTATACAAAAGTCAAAATCAGAGCATTTCTGCTCTGGGGACCCATGATATAATCCAAATAGACCTGTTGGCACAACATAATAATGTGCCATAGATGCCATTTTTATATTCTCTGCAACTCTGGAAATTAATAGTCATATCTAAATATATAAATATTATTCAAAGATAAGACAATATAATTTTCATTGCTATTTATTTATCAAAGCCTTCAAATCAATGTTGCTTTATCTTTCCTGACATTTAAAATAGTTTTGGGTAAAGGTCTCACTCTTTTTAGTTAACTATATTTTCCTAAGGATTTTTGATCCCCCACTAGTAATTCAAAGACAGTAAAAGTACCTTAGCAGGTATTTGTTTTATAATCCATTAAGGCATACATTTGTTTTATGTGGTTTTCTGTTTGTTGTATGATATTTAACAAAAAAATTTTTAAAAATAATTCCTTAGTAGGGTGATGAGCTAGAGATATGTTTTTCACTCTAAACATTCTACCTAACTTGCTTCATCTTCCCATCACCTTATTCCAATCTGCACCCTTCAAATAAGAGGAATTTTTAGTCTTATTAAATTGGTTCAAAGTGGTTGCCATGGCAAAGACATTCCTAGCAGCCTCAGAGCACACAAAAATCCACGCCCTGTCTTACATATATGTTCCCTCCCTCTCTCCTTTGTTTCTCTTTATGTCTTTGTTATATATTTATTTTCCCCATGTGCATATCTTAACCACCCAGCGATATCCAGTAGCAACTATGAATATAACTTAGCTTTAATAGTGGTATTAAGGAAAATATGAACATTTATTATAAAGATAAAGCAGAATGTTCACTGAGAGAACAATGTTAAAATAGATTTTGTGTTTTCTATAGGTCAACAGTTGAAGGACTCTATCTTTTCAAGATACATATTTGAAGAACTACAGATGAAATTATAGTATGTGCAGGACTGACTTCCAAATGATATTACAGGAGGCTGACTGAGGAGGTGGATAAAACAATTCTGGTCAAAAGCTGATAGATAATGAATATATAGGAATTCATTACACTATCCTYTCTACATTTAAATATATTTGAAGTCTTCCAAAATTGAAAAATATTAAAAAATTAAAATTAAGAACTTCAAATGAGAAACTAAACAAACAATAAAAAGGAGTTTCATATATAAATCTCTCAGTTCACATACTATAATTAAATATAGGGGTATAATATTATCAGATATCTTCCATAAACAAAGGGAAAAATAATGAGAGAAAGTCATCTTTGGAGGAACCAAAAAAAAAAAAAAAATGCTAGTTGGGAAGACATTTCCTTTTTAAAAAAAAAATCAGTTTTCAGATGTGTAAACCTTTTTAGCCTTTCAAGTTTGAGTATTTTACAAGATGAGAACAAGCACTGGGTTTTACAAATACCCACAAAACAGCACAGAGTTTTTTTTTTTTTACTTTATTTTATTTATTCATTTTTATATAGTGCTGAGATCAAACCCAGTGCCCCACACGTGCTAAGCAAGTGCTCTACCATTGAGCAACAACCCCAGCCCTAAACAGCATAGTTGTTAAATCTATGTTCACCACAATGAAGTAAAACAACATAGTAGGTTTATAAAAGATAAATAAATCCTGCTTCTTGTTGAAAGGATGGTTGGATGGATAGGGGAATGGAAGAAAAGGACAAAGTAAACAAGCTATTCTAAAGGTGAAGATGTTATGTACTTGAAAATACATTTCATCTAACTATGAGGTAAACTGAAAATATCAAGAGTGTGAAAAATAGCATGACTTTGGATTAGACTACATTTGTATACTTCACCATGTTTTAAACTCCATTCTCCAGTAAAATCACAGCAAAGGGACAAAACAAAATAAAACCCAAGGACAAAGAGAACAGAAAAAGAAAACATGAACAACTTCACAAGACCCTGTCTCTAAATAAAAAAGGAAGAACTGGGGGTATAGCTCAGTGGTGAAATGCTTGCTTAACATATGTAAGGCCCTGGGTTCAAGCCCCAGCACCACAAACAAAGAATGGCACTGCCCATCTCAGTGGCATCATCACAAATTAGAAAACAAATGCTTTCAAAATCATAAGAAAAATAAATTCCTACTAAAATTCTATATCCAGCCATACTATTTAAGTTTAATGACGAGGCAAGAGGTTTTCAGATATGAAAATTATCTAAAATTGTTCTATTTTACTTTCCTCAGAAAGCTGATAAATAAGTATTCCACCAAAAAGAAGTAAACCATGATAAGGAAAATCTCTAGCAAACAGAAGATTCAACATAATAGAAAGGCAAATCGATTATCCAGGATGAAGGTAAAGGGAGAYTACAGATTAACAGCTATGCTGAAAGTTCCAAAATCCAGCTTCTGAAGATGAAGTAGATCAGAAAACACCAGAAAAATTGTACAGCTGCTGTGGAAAACAATTGGTGGTTCTTCAGAAAGTGTTAGGGGCTGGAGAAGTAGCCCAGTGATAGAGCACTTGCTAGCACACACAAGGCCCCAGGTTTGATACCCAACACTACAAAAACAAAAAAGTTAAATAGAATTATCTTACAACCCAGCAATTACACTCCTTGGTAGATATTTGAACAAATATTTGTATGAGTATATACAAGAGTACTGTTCACAACAGTCACAAGGTGGAAACAATCCAAATGTCCATCAACTGATGAACAGACAGAAAAAAAATCATACATTCATAAAATGAAATATTATTCTGCTAAAAAAGGGGAAGTACAAAAAGATACTATAAATGGATAATCCTTGAAAATATTAAGGCAAGTGAAAAAAAGACTCAAAATATCATGTTTCATGATTCCATTTATATGAAATATCCAGAAACAGGTATGTCCATAGAAATAAAAAGTAGATTGGTGGTTGCCAGAAGTTGAAAGAAAAGCAAGAATAGGAAGTGAATGCTAAATGAATTTTGCAGTTTCTTTTGGAGTAATGAAAATGTTTTGGAACTATATAGAGGTAGCGAGGTAGTGGTCGCAAAACACTGAATATTACTAAAAGCCACTAAATCAGACACTTTTTTTTTTTTTTTTTAGAGAGAGTGAGAGAGGAGAGAGAGAGAGAGAATTTCTTAATATTTATTTTTTAGTTCTCGGCGGACACAACATCTTTGTTGGTATGTGGTGCCGAGGATCGAACCCGGGCCGCACGCATGCCAGGTGAGCGCGCTACCGCTTGAGCCACATCCCCAGCCCTAAATCAGACACTTTTTAAAAAAATTTTAAACAGGGGCAAAGGGCTAATTTTATATTATATGACTTTTTTTTTTTTTTTTTTTTTGCAATAATGGGGGTTAAATTCAAGGCCTTGTGTGTATGCTAGGCAAAGTGAGCCACATCCCCCAGCATTCTATTTTTTTAAAAAGAAAGAAAGGCGGGGGTTGTGGCTCGGTAGTAGAGTTCTTGCCTAGCATGCATGAGGCACCAGGTTTGACCCTCAGCACCACATAAATGTAAAATAAAGATATTGTGTACACCTAAAACTTAAGAATAAATATTAAAAAAAGAAAGAAAGAAAGCTTCTGGAGGGCTTCAACAAGATTAAATTGATAGAACTACCTAATATGTTTTACATATATTATATTAAAACATGAATAATTTGGGCAAAATGTGAGAAAAYATTACATTAATACATTGAAAACTAAACAAATACATACTAGAAACTCAAATAATTTAAGTCAGGTATAGTACCTGTAGGGTACTGGTTCCAGGACCTGATCCCATCCCCAGTGGATACCCAAATCTAAGAACACTCAAGTTCCTTATATAAATGACACATTATTGCATACAACCAACATACATCCTCCCATATACTTTAAAAAAAAAAATGTTTAAGTTGTAGATGGACGCAATACTTTTTTTTTTTTAAACTTATTTTTATGTGGTGCTAATGATCAAACCAAGTGCCTCACACATGATAGACAAGGGCTCTACCACTGAACTACAACCCCAGCTCCCATATACTTTAAATCATTTCTAGACTACTTGTAAAACCTTATACAGCCAGAGGTGACAGCACACACTTGTAATCCCAAGAACCTGGGAGGCTGAGGCAAGAGGATCACAAGTTCTAGKGCAACCTCAGCAACTTGGTGAAATCTTAAGAAACTTAGTGCAACCCTGTTTCAGTATAATTTTCCATAGTTAGAATCAATAAAATATACTCAAAAGTGGAAAATTAAGATGGACATGGTGGCGCAAACTGTAATCCCAGTGGCTTGGGAAGCTGACGCAGGAGGATCTCAAGTTCAAAGTCAGCCTCAGCAAAAGTGAGGCAKTAAGCAACCCAGTGAGACTCTGTCTCTAAATAAAATACAAAACAGGGCTGGGGATGTGGCTCAGTGGTTGAGTCCTCCTGAGTTCAATCCCCGATACCAAAAACAAAACAAAACAAAAAAAGTAAGAAATTATGGAAGTTCCAGTACAAGTTTACTATCTGATTAAATGGAGCCACCTAGGATACACTTTAAAAAAAAACACAGATTTAAGATTTAAAATAAGTTGTCTCTGATGAGAGGGAAATGAAAAATAGGGGTGAAATGGAAATGTCTGCTTTTGTACTAAACAATTAAAAAAAAAAAGGGAAGGAGGTGAATAGTATATACTTATAACAACTGTGAAAGCTAAGCTCACCTGCAGAAACTGTGTGAACTCTGTGTAGTTAAGATGCTTCTTCCGATTATGCCCAAAATGCAGTCGGATAAACTCACAGTCCCAGTTAAAAGGGATATGATGATGAATAATAGTCTGTCCAAAAATTTCCTTGACATTTTCTTAAAAGGGAAAACAAAAATAAATCAATTATACTTTGAATAAGTAGTTTAACCCACTGCAATGTTCCTACAGAAAAAAATTAAGAAGTCAATATCATCTGCTTCTATTAAGATTAACTGCAAAAATTTTTTTGTGCCCAGAAATCCATGCACAGGAACACAATTGATACAAAATATAATTTTACACTTAAGATTGTGTACCATTACATATAAGGCCATGAGATTCTTAATTTCTCTTGATTTAATTTTAATTAAGAAGTGATTTATATCTTGTACTATAAATGACTGCTACTTTACATTCCAGTATAAAATCAATAGTGTTTTCCCGGTTCCTCAAGGAGTCAAATTAAGCCCTTTATCAGAAGCATGAATACCTAAATTACAGTATAATGCAATATTTGTCATACTAAGTATGGTTTGATTGAGGCTTGATTATTACATTCACACTAGCCTGAATATGTCTATTGAAGATAGGTATAAGAAATACTACCAAAAGCATATCATTAGCTCAGCAGCAAGCACCTTATTAAAAGCTTCTGATATTGTCAAAAATATGGTCTTGACACAAAGCTTCAAAATCCCCATAAAATCCATGATTATTAGTCTGCACTATTAAAATATTTTAAGATAAGTGAAATTAGTGATTCACTTTTAAATAAAGCTCCAAACACAGTACACTAACTTTTAGATAGGAACCAGTCACGCTGTGTAATATACAACCAAAACTCTCTGGCAGCTTGTCTTCATGCACTAGCAATGTCATTCACTTTCTTACACAATTTTACATTTACTGTAAAAGTCAATCCACAAATGACTGGTACTTTAACAAGCATAGACTGGATAGACTAATTTAGAAGCTCATGCCAGAAAAAAAAAAAAAAAAAAAAAAACAAAACTCATTAACAAAGTTAAGAAAGCAGGAAGCCTATTTTACTGATGTCTTAAGAGCAAAATTATTTTCAAATGTCAATTTTATTAGTGAAATGGTTTTACCATAATAGCTATCAATTATACTAGAGAATTAGTAAATACAAGTTTAATGTTTTATAATCTCCTCCAATTTTGCTATTTTTCCTAATTTTTGCAAATTCTTTGGATAAGATACTGATCTCAGACTGTAAATGATTGAATGGATTCCCTTTGTTTTATACACCCTTTTTTCTTAATAACAGCATTATAACTGGGGTAGGAGAGTGTAAAAATTCTAAGCTGGAAATCCTACCAGTCTGGACCCAATGTAACAGCTCTGAGTAGATTACAGCAATCAGCAAAGTTGGAAGAAGGCATTGGATGTCACTGGGGAGATGGGATTCTCATTTTTTCTTTCAAATGGAATGCAGGATTCATTTCTTGCCTAAGTAGCAACAGTATTTCAGAGTTTTCAAATCATGTCAAGTATTTTCACCTTAAACACAAATGAAATGCTATATGGGCTTTTGTTCCTAAAAAGCAAAGAAATCATAGCAATTCATGGGATCTAGGTTTCTAACCAACACAAAAAATTATCATTAAAACTACACGAAACATAATATTGCAAAATATGCTAAACTTTATAAGATAATTAAAATAATAAGAGTCGGAAAAATATTTGACCAAAAATTTTAATGGAAGATCAGCAAATATTTTTAAAATCCCAATTTAATTAATTAGCTGCTTCTATCCCCAAATCAAATAATGTAATTGYTTATTTTTAAGACCTAACAAAAGAAGTGTTCAACTAAAAAAAAATTTAAATTAATTGAAAATTGAATAGAATAACTTAAATTTATTTAATCAAGATTAGTTATAGATAAGTATGATGGCACAGGCTTGTAATCCCGGTTATTTTGGAGGTGAAAGTTAGATGATCAAAAGTTTAAGGACAGCCTGGGCAATTTAATGAGACCCTGTCTTAAAATAAAAAATAGAAAAGGCTGGGGATGTTGCTCTGTGGTAGAATGTCCCTGTTTTAATCCCAAGTTACCATCAGGGACAGGAAATAGATTATTAAAGAGAATAAGTTATTTCATGGTAACAAATTTTTTAAAGGTCACAACTCCCAAAATCTAATTATTTGATAAGAAATATATGTATTGCTCCCTTGATAATTTTTATGCAAGGGAGGATAAAACTGAATCCCTTTTATGATGAGAAAATATCAGAATCTAAATTGAAAAATATTCAAAATCCTTCAAACTAGGAAAACTTACCTAGAAAATTTTTCCTATTACAAAAAAATTTTTTGATAAATTAATTTGCCATGTATAATTTATATCTGGAAAACAGCTCTATAAAATAGTTTTAACTGGAAATCCTATTTTACAAATTTCCTAGTAATCTCTAAATAAGATATATAATATTTTTGAAACAATTAAAATAATGGCCTAAATTACTCATAGCAATCTCTTCATTACAGAAGCATCATTTTCCATGTTATTTGTTTGGACATTTCCTACTTCTCCCAAAGTGATCTCTTGACAGCTTTGTATATGATTTTATTATGACCATTATTATATGCTATGGTTTATTAACCACTCCCCAGATACTTTTAATTATTTTATAGTCATATCACAGGCTTCAACTGTAGTTAGTAAGACTAATAAAATTTTAAATCTACTTTGTTACCTCTTAAGATGCATTCTACTTCTCTTTTATAATTATTTATACTACCAATTGACTGAAGCCGATTTAGAAATGTCACAGAAGTCATCAGTACAACTATTGTTTTAAAGTCCAATTCATAATCACCACTTTTTAAAAAAAAAAAAACTGGGATATGCTTATTAAAAAGTTATATAAAAGCTCCAGAATCGGAAAGCTTATACTTGTGTGAGGCAATAAGTCAAATAGCTGATGTTATTATCTTACTTGATTTATCACCAATAATTTCAAAAATATCCACAACATCTAACCGGAACTGCATAGCAAGTTTCCCACCCAAAGAGAATCCCGTCTTTCCAGTGGCAAACAAGGATCTTTAGCTGTAAATAGCACTCCTTTAGAGTGTTATTTCAGTAGCCACAGTTCTAAACTGTGAAAGGGATATAAGAGTCATATCTACTGGCAGCAAGATGAAAGGGATATGAGTCATATCTACTGGCAGCAAGATAACCATCTAGTATTTTATACCAGGTTGGCATTGCTAAGAGAAATAGGAATCCATTCCTTTTCTGACATCTAGAAAACAAGAGACCACTTTTTCACTTCCTGCAGAGAATGGGCTTACAAAAGGGATTGTTTGATAATTCCAYTGAAAAGGGAATTGGGGCCATATACAAAAATAGCTTGTCATTAATGTTCTCTTTGCTCAAAGGAGAGGAGCACAATGATTTGTCAGGAAGGCAGGTAATGGTGACAACTGTGATTAAATAAAAATGTTCACAGATGTATATAACATTAGTCAGTTTAGCTGTATCAGTAACTTATAATGATTGGACTAGATGAAATACACATTGAAGCATATATATTTATGTAAATATGTCTTAACAGAGGTTTCAATTTCCCCAGTAGCCCACACTGTGTCTCCCCATCTCATCCACCCTCATCCCTCCCCTGGTTCTTATGGGAGCTTCCTACTGGTCTTGTTCACCTTTCTGCAGTACAAAATTACCTCTGACCGGGGCTGGCACTCTTCTCCAAGACTGCCACCATGCCTGTTCCATGAATGAGCCTGGAAGGAGCTGCTGTACCAACGGTGTGGCCAGAGAACTCCTCCTGTAGGTATACAAGCCATCAGCCCTGTGACACAGCCCACCTACCATCAGCCCAACTTGATATCCTGATTCCAGGATTCCAGCCCAGCAGGAGCCACTGCTTCCAACTTATAGACTTGAGACCAAATATTCTGATTGTGAGAGGGGAAAATTCCTCAATAACTGAGTTTCACCAGCATAGTTCTTTAAGTGAAGTCAGAGAAGCTTTTAGGACACTCATCGTGTACAGTGAATATCCTTGTGTATAAGTGAACAAACACAATGGTGAGACTTGTGGAAGTGAAGAATTTCTGGGTGAAGGAAAATTTGTGGAAAAGAGTAGGAACAACTAAGTGGCCAAAAAAGAAAATAAAGGAAAACAAAGAACAACAACAGAAAGACCAACAGGAAACTTGTAGAGGAAGTCCTAACCAACATAGCATATAGACTCAGTCCCAGACTGCAGGGTTCTATTCCCAGGTATGCCATTAGTGTCCTAGGTGAGCCCCCCTGTTTCTGTGAGGGAAAAGTATTTCTATTAGCTCTTTACCTACCTCCAGAAGGGAATACTGTATGATCAGTCAATAAAGTAGTCTCTCTGCCAAAAATATGTAAAGATCCATTTCTCAGGAAAGATAAATTCACATTTAAAGAACATCTATGATTACAGAAGCTAGCTGTTTCAACAGTCTACCATCAAATAGCATTAAAAAAAAAAAAAAAACCACTGGGTCCTTTTTTTAACCTCAAACTCTAAATCTACTCCAGTATCCTTGAGTATTTTTTAAAAGGATCTTGTGATGTCTGAAAATGATATGAAGCAAAGAATCTCAAAAATTCTTCCTGATTTAATTGAACACTTAGGTGAAGCTCTACTTCATTCCAAATTATAGATTAGCTGTCTGTCACCTTTAGAATTTCATATTTTTCCATGCCTATGTCTGTTTCCATGGAGAAAGAGTACAATATTTTTCATATCTATACTTCTATCTCCTAATCCTTTAAATTAAAGCAGTGGTTATGCCTAAACCACTCCAATATATTCTCCCTTTAGGGAAAAAGAAGCACAAATGGAACATATTTTAATTTGCTATACATTCTGATAGCCCACACAGTACTAAATTAAAAGGTATCCCTGCTTTTTGAGGGTTGTATTAGTCAGGGGGTGAGGATATACCCTTAGAAAAGATCACTTTTAAGAGTTCCCATTCCTAAGCAAACACTTTGGGTAACAATGATGATGAGTGTTTAATAGAGAACTCAGAACACATAATACATATCATACTCATTGATGAGTTAATAAGCTTCTTTTTGCTGTTTGTTTTTTTAACAATTATTCTTTCTTAAAGCAATAGACGTTTTCTTTTAATTTTGGACAAATGCATGGTAGCTATTGACAAAAAAATGTAGTATAACCACTTAACTAGGTGACCTCAACCTAATGATATCAGGTATGCTATTCAGTGAATGATAGGAAGATCAAGGCAAATTTGCACTACACCCAGCACACACCAGTCATGCAACGGCCTCTACAAGGCTCATGCCACCTGGCAGTAACAGATACACAAGCCATTAAGTAATTACCTACAGCATGCATTAGAAGTTTTATTAAAAGAACATCAAAGAGGAAACAACTAATAGTTTATTTTCTCTTAAAAAAAAAAAAAAAAAAACCTCCAGAACCCTTTTTCTGAGCTTTCATTTTCTGAAATGCATCACCAAGACCCCAGCATAAAATCCACTCTCCCAGAATGAAAGTACCTCAAACAAATAAAACTTGTCTAGCACTCAAGTAAATAAATGTTGTTCAATATTGCCATTTGTATAAATACTTGCAAAGATACACAACACAGTTTAAGTATATAACTTGATGTGTATAAAAACTATATCTAAAAAAACAAAAGCATAGATGAGAACAATATATACATGTACACAGAAAACATTAACATTATCATTGCAGTCCACAAGAGATACTGATGGCATAATAGTTTTCCCCACATTATTGTGCCTGGAATCCAATATTCTCTCCTAACTTTCTTCCCTTAGGTGCACCAAAGAAAACTATAAATAGCTCCAAATTAGAAAACATAGGCCATTTGTTGGAAAGGATTTAACTCCAGTTAGAATGAATCTAAATTTTCCTTTTACCTAAACATATATCTACAAATATATTAGCACAATTCAATATATTAAGTGGGTACAAACATAAAAACTGACCTTCATCACAGATCCAAAATCCTATAAAATAAACTGCAAGTTAATTATTTCCTTATGCAGAAATTCTGTAGTCTTGAATACAGCCTGAAATAAGTGGGGTCTTAGAAATCTTGTTAAAATGGCATTTGCTATAAGTAACCGTTTCAATGATTATCTTCTTTTATTAAAGTACAAAATTAGTCTTCTCTCCTTTATTATAATTCCTTTCAATTTAGCTAAAAATATTTTGTTCCAAAATGAGGCTAAGGATATAACTCAGTGTTAGAGAGCTTGCCAGCATGTATAAGGCCCTGGGTTCAAATCTAAACACTGTGAAAAAAAAAATCATTTTTTAAAAAGTGTCTAACAACAGATCCTCAAAAATGTGGAGACAAGACAGGAAAGGGAAATGGTCAAAGTCCCTAAGAAATAGGTGACCACCGTCAAGAAAGCCATATAGCTGGCCTACCCCAAGAACAATGTCAAAAGTGGGTATAACTTTTTCTTCTTCCATAATAATCCTGTCTCTAGATTATGGAGCAGAAAAATGAAAGCAAGATTCTAGAGGGTTCAAATGTTCTTCAGTCCATACCAGGTGCAAAAAAACTAAACCAATTTACTTTGTTTTAATTCTATTTCTTGAAATCCTAACTCAGAAATCATAGTCTAAAAGAAAAATTTAAAAAACTATAAAAGAACAAATTTGGGATTTAATAAGTAAAAGCTTTTATTTGCAAGAAATAAAGTGTACATGAACCACTTAGCTACTTCCAACACTCATTTTAATCTACTAATCAACAATGGTATGGGTCTCTGTTGTTGGTTTGTTGGGTAAAGTGACTTGAGTGATTTATTTTTAAAAATAGAAGCTGGGAAAAGCAATCAATTGGAGGTGACATGATACCGAGGTAGAGGGACAAAATGAATCAGAATTTGGTTTTAAGAAATCTAAGTCTTAATGCACACAGAATAGAAGCACAGGTATGCTGTCACCAACACAGACATTTGAATCAAATTATTTCCCAAGCTTTTCTGTACCACATTTGGAAGTGAGACATATGAGCATGTGTGATACTTACTGAAAATAGAAAATGCAGCAATTATTAGTAGTACAGGGTTGACACTGATTGATGAGATGATATTGGTTTTGTGCTTTAAACTATAGAATCTGGGTGCTTACATGGAAAGTCAACATTCTTTAGAAGGCAAAATGGCGAGAGCTTGCTCCAAAGCAAGGAGAATGCCAAAATACATGCAGAAATTTAAAGAGCTTTGCATAGTATTTATTGAGGAAAGTCTTCTCATATAAAGCACAATTGGACAATGGGCAGAGGAAGAAAAACAGTCGAGGCCAAGCTGGAAAATGTGTTCACCAAAGTTACAGCCAAGGTGCCACTGGTTTTTCCAATATTTTCTCTCGGTCTTACCATTGCTGTGATAATTCTTCCTTCAGGTTTAAGTAAAGGATGTGTTTTATAACTCAAACATCACAATGAATAAACATTGAGTTTTGTGGCTCAGGGAAAGCCTTATTTTCAAGGGTTTCTCCACAAATATTCATGCTAATTCATATCATAAAAAGATGAATCAAGTTCATCAATTTCAGTTCTGCAAGAGGAAAAAGTTCTGGAGATCTGTTTCACAGCAATGTGAACACACTAAACACTACTGAACTGTACACTCAATAATGGTTAAGATGGTAAATTTTATTTTTTGTTTTTTAACCACAACAAAATACTTTCAAATATTAAAATAATAATAATAAGAGGGCAGTTCAACATCCTTGAACATGCTACACTAGTTTTACTGAAAAGCCTGTTACAGGAAAAATTAGCCAATACTTTCACTAAGCATAAACTAATTTCTACAAATAAGTACCTTTAAAAACTAATGCAGACTACATATAAAAATCCTAGTTTGCATACTTGTAAGGCATCGACAATGTGTTAGATTGTGTCTACCAAAGAACTTAAGTCGATTTCTATATCCAAGTCAGATGGTTATTTTAATATTATAGCCCTGTCTCCTAAAACCAAAACTCTAAAACAGAAGGTTCAGAGAATACTAATTAATTTTATCTTAACTTCCTCCTTTAGTTTCATTGTTGGTGTTAAAAATGGCATAGTAGCAATTTTCCAAAGTTGCTACAGAGAAGGTTTAAATTCCCTATCCAAAAATCCCATAAAGAATGAGAAGGTTGCTCCAGTCTACTTTATAAAGAATTTTGCCCAGGCTGGTCCAGTACAAGAAAATTTTACACCACTTATTTTAGGAATTCGAAAGTGTCAGTGACCTAATAAGCTGAACCAACAGCATTCCTAGATTCCTTAATTTTTGAAGTAGTCTAACAATTTGAAGAAAATAAAACCACTTTTATCTTTGTAAAACTCTTAGGAAATTAATACTTCTCTTATTGACTAGGTTCTAAATAAGCATAAATCTATAATCAGTTATTAGATTTAGCAATTAAAGATTGGACCAACATCATAACTTTACTTATTATAATCTTTTTTTTCCCTTACCAAATGTCACCTCTCCACTTCCACTCTTGTCAAACAACTGGAAAGCCACTATGAACATGGAATCTGGAGCACATAAAACAGATTCAAATGCCAAAAACTCTTGATAGGAGATCAACCTGGAACAAATATAAAATGTTACTGGCTAGTAAAGAAAGGGAAAATATCAGGCAAATTAATTAATCTGCCTTTACTTTATGAACTGTAGCTCAGAGTAACCAAATAACTAATGAAGGGTGTGTATATTCCAGGGAGGAATGGAATATTATCCTTTTGTAAGGCCCTAACAAATTAACGAACTAATCAACAGATACTACCATCACATAAGGAGAGAAAGCCACACCAAAAATAATTAAATCTGAAAGTGATCAAGTCTCTAGATCATAATTTTTCAATCTCAGCACTGCTGACATTTCAAGCTGGATAATTTTTTTGCTCTTGTTGGTCTCCTGTGCATTGTAGCTATTTACATGCTATAAAACATGGAGGAGAGAGGAGCAAAGCACAAAAGAACATGATATTGACTACTCTTAAACCAGCTTTTTCCTCATACTTAACCAAATAACTAAAACTTGTCTCAATGAGTTCTACTCATTCACTTGATTTTACTTCTTCATGGGTGATTATAAGTAATATTATGTATTATCATTTCAAATGACACACCTATACAACTCATCATCAAAAGTACAAAAGAATCAAGGAACATAGCTCATATGTGGGGAAAATGTACCAATTGGCCAGGCATGGTGGTATATGCTTGTAATCAGTGGCTTGGAAGACTGAGGCAAGAAGATTGCAAGTTCAAAGCCAGCCTCAGCAAAAGCAAGGTGCTAATAAGCAACTCAGTGAGACTCTGTCTCTGCATAAAATACAAAATAGGGCTGGAGATGTGGCTCAGTACTCCTGAATTGAATCCCCAGTACCCCCCATCCCCCACAAAAAAGTACCAATTGAACAATTTTAATCTTTCCTCACTGCCCTGGGTAATAGAGAAAGAGGGAGAAAAAAGAATATCTATTTTTACAAATGATTATAAGAAAAAGGGACTAAAAATTAGGAGAACTAATTTTGTGTTATTGGGAAAGTCAATCTCTTTGGGCCTTATTTTCCTCTATGTGTTAAATGAGGAAAGATCGACTTATTTGAATGAGTCAAACACCGAAGCTTTTGATTCTATTGAATTAAAATTATTTTTAAAAGACTTAATAATGATACTAAGGTTTTTGAAGTCATAGACCTTTATGAAAATCTAAGATTCTTCCCAGAAAACTGTAGATATGAATCCACTCATACTTTATTATATTTCAGGAACTTCAGGAATCTCTGGAGAAGACTTATGAAGAGACAACTAAGAACCTATGTGTTTCTAGAAAACTCCACCTTTGCTTCTAGAAATAATTCACATTTCATACAGTCATTTATAATTTTTATAACCTAACTCTGAGTCAGGTTTCCTACACAATTCCTGTCTGATTCCAAAGATTTGGGAGGAAGAGATTAAGAAATTTTAAAAATTGAAATAGAACTGTTTTTTAAAAATATTTTTTAGTCGTACACAAAAAAATACTTTTATTTATTTTTATGTGGTGCTGAGGATTGAACCCAGTGTCTCACACATCCATCCCAGGCAAGCCCTCTGCCACTGAACCACAACACCTGCCCACAAATTTATTATTATTTTTTTTTTAACTAAAACAAGTATTTTAAAAAGTGAACTCTGGGGCTAGAGATATAGCTCAGTTGGTAGAGTACTTGCCTCTCATGCACAAGGCCCTGGATTCAATCCCCAGCACCAAAAAAAAAAAAAAAAAAGAAGAAGAAGAAGTAGTAAACTCTGGTAATCCCAGCAGCTCAGGAGGCTGAGACAAGAGGATCACAGGTTCAAAGTCAGTAACTTGGCAAGGCTGTAAGAAACCTAGTAAGACCTTGTCTCTAAATAAAAAATAAAAAGGGCTGAGGATGTGGCTCAGTTGTTAAGCCCTTGGGTTCAATCCCAGTACCCTCCTCCCAAAAAAGTAAACTCTGCTCAACATTATTTTAGATTTTGCCACTAGACAAAACACATTACTGATCTGTTTTGTTCTGGCAACTTTAGCCCTTGCCCTTGATTACACTTGGCCACATTAAAAAAAATCCTACTTTAATAATGCAGCTTGACCTACAAAACCTCATGCTTTAGATAAGATACCCTATTGAAATGGACAAGAGTAGATGGTCACAAAAGAAAGCAACCGAAAAGATATGGATATTTAAAAGCAGACTTCAGATCAAATTAATAATGCATTGATATTTTCTAAAAGAACTTAATGTATATGTAAACTTTAATATTCTGAAGGAATTCTAATTAAAAATAAATTTTCATAGGTGTTACTGTCTAATCACTATTGAGACTCTAATTAAATGATCCAGTGACTTACGTGATTTGACATTTTTAGAGACTAGACAATACTATACATGTTCCCTGATACCTGATATTTATAATGATTCAAAAATCTTTCCCATTCATAAAATACGCATTTGACAAACATTTGTTGAACATAATAAATTTCATGCACTGTGCTAGGTTCTATGGGACAATAAAAATGAATACAATGTTAGTCCTGTACTCAACCTTTATTTACTTTAGCCCTCTCAATAGTCACCTAACCAGATTTCACTGTGTGCAAGTCTTGTCCCACTCCAACCTGCCATTTTTCTAAATGGATTGCGGCTCACTGGTAAGGCGCTCACGTTGTATGTGCAAGGCCCTGGATTCGATCCTCAGCACCATATAAAAATAAATAAACAAAATAAAGAAATTGTGCCCAACTATAACTAAAAAATAATAATAATAATAATAATATTTTCTTAGTTGTTGAAAGACCTTTATTTCATTTATTTATATGTGGTACTGAGAATCAAACCCAGTGCCTCATATATGCTAGGCAAGCACAGTATCACTGAGCTACAACCCCAGGCCCAATGGTAATAATTTTTAAAGACTCCTTGCTGCCCAGTTTTTCAGTGTTTTTCACACAAGCACCTCTACAGGTAGAAAAGCAAGCCTGGATGCTTGGAAGTCTGAGGCTGTAGCTTGAAACTGCCATAGTAAGCAAATATTTTCTTTATATAATTCATACAAATATTGCCTTTGCCCAGTACTATATGGAGAATATGATTTTAGTATATGATTTTAATAAAAATAATGGTGACTTTCCCCCCTTGAGTTAAATAAGCTGACACTCTAATAAGATGACTTCATATCCATATGCTTACCAAGCAAAAGTATCTCCAAGACTAAGAGTCACAAGCTTGCAGGATATAGTCAAATTCAGCACACAAGGTCCCCAACTCCACTTCAACAATAAAAAGCAATGCCACAACTGCACTGGAGTGGAACACAATCCTGCCCACACTGCTGCTCATACACAGGCACACACCCTCCATGTTTCATGCCACTCATGCTCCCTTACCTGAAATTCTTCTCCCTATTTGTCCAACTACCAGCAAGCTTGTATTCATTTTGACAAATTTTACTCAAATATCGCCTCTTTCATGATTCTGACTTGACCCCAAAACAGTTAGCCATGTTTTCTTGGGTACCTTCTATATGTTCCATATACATCTATTAGAGTGTCTTATTCCAGAGTATTGCTTTATTTTTCTTTGCTTGGTCATCTTCATTCCTACTAGGTTACAAGCTTCTTAAGGTCAGAACTTCATTTTATTTGTTTGTTTTTAATAAGATTCAATAGTGCCTGACAAATGATGGTTGTTAACACAATATTTGCCAAGTAAACAAATAGACAAATTAATAAATTTGTCTAAACTCTTCTTTGGTTTGTTTTTCACAGCACTTATAATCTCATAACATACTATCATTTTTAAAATTTTGTTTATCTCCTTTCTGTGGTTTATTCACTGATAAGTTCTAGCACAAAGAACAGTGCCTGAAGTAACTGCAGGCACTCATTATTTATTGAATGAATGGATGTCAGAAATTAAACCTAATTGCCCAGAACCCATCCTACTCAGACTATTATAAAACATACTATTCCCATATAATTTTTTCAAAAAGAAAGAAATTCCAATATCTTTCATAATGGCAGTAAATAATGCTATTTTTTATAAACTTCAAAGAAAGATATGGGTTTACTAATATTAAAATTCTAAATATTCATAAGTAACATTTTTGTTTTTAAAAACTTTTAATAACATATTTCAGAACATTAATTTTTCAAAAATATATAAAAATTCTCACCCATCCTTGGTTTGATCAGCTACTCCTGCCAAGAGCTGCACAATCTTTGGGTTGCTATTTGGATCATTATACAGTCCAAGATAGCGCTGGACAAAATCTTCTGGGGTCATGTAATGTTCTCCATCGACCTCAGTACTGGCATACTAAAACATAAATAAATAAAGCATATTGAAAAGTTAAAATTTGACTAATAAGTTAAAATTAATCATTATCATTTTATAGCCATCAAATGTTTTATGAAAAGGTAAATTAAAGGCCAGTATTAAAATAAGAGCCAGGCACTGTGGCACACACCTGTAATCCCAGAGGCTCAGGAGGCTGAGGCAGGAGGATTACAAGTTCAAAGCCAGCCTTAGCAACTTATCAAGGCTCTAAGCAACTTAGCAAGACCCTGTTTCTAAATAAAATATAAAAACAGGCTGAGGGGGCTGGGGCTGTAGTACAGTGACAGAGCGCTTGCCTAGCATGTATGAGGTTCTGGGTTTAATCCTTAGCATCACATAAAAATAAAACAGAACCTTAGCATCACATAAAAATAAAACAAACAAAATAAAGGCATTCTGTCCATCTACAACTACAAAAAAATTTTTTAAAAAACAAAAAACAAATGGGCTGGGGAAATCACTCATTGGTTAAGTATTCCTGGGTTCTACCCCTGGTACCAAAGAAAAGAAAATAAGAATAATGAACATAGAATTTTTCTCTGGATAGTGAAAATGAAACACCCAGAGACTAGTTTAAGAACACTGTAAGCCAGGCACAATGGCACAACAACTCTGGAGGCTAAGGCAGGAGGATTGCAAGTTCAAGACCAACCTCAGCAACTTAGCAAGACCTGACAACTTAGCGAGACCCTGTCTCAAAATAAAATATTTWAAAAGGACTGGGGATGCAGCTGTGACTTAATATTTAAGTCCCTGGGTTCAATCCCCAGTACCATAGGGGGTCGAGGGAGAACAACATGAAATACTGACAACATGCTATAACATGGATGAACCTTGAAAATATTCTAAATTAATGAACCAGACACAAAAGGCACATATTACTGGATCCAATCTATTTGAAATGTCCACAATGGGCAAATCCACACAATCAGAAAGAAAGAGTGATTGCCAGGACTGGGAGAAAGAGAAAATGGGAGTTAACTGCTTAAGGGAGATGGGGTCGCTCTTTGGGTCACATGTTATAAATGTACTAAAAAAAATTAAATTATATATTTTAAATGCAACAAAAGGGAATTTTATGTTAAATGAATATTTTGTCTTAATATATAAGCTTGGTTCAGTGGCACACCTATAATCACAGCAACTCAGGCAGCTGAGGCTGGAGGATCACAAGTTTGAGGCCAGCCTTGGCAACTTGGCAAGACTCTGTCTCAAAATAAAATTCTAAAAATGGGCTAGGGATATAACTCAATGGTAGAGTGCCTGACTAGCATACATAAGGCCTTGGGTTCCATCCCCAGTACTGGGTTGGGGGAGGGAGTGTGAGTGTAAGTAATATAAGAGATATCAGAAAGACTAAAAAAAGCGAATGAGAAGCCAGGACCCAAAAGGGAGAAAATAATATCTACTGTCTATAAGAGTGGGAGGAAGGCTGGGGATGTGGCTCAAGCGGTGGCATGCTCGCCTGGCATGCGTGCGGCCCGGGTTCAATCCTCAGCACCACATACAAAGAAAGATGTTGTGTCCGCCGAAAACTTAAAAAAAATACATATATTAAAAAAAAAAAAAAAGAGTGGGAGGAGAGGAAGGCATAACAAACCCTAGATGGGAACTGAATGAGAAAGGTCTAAGAAACAATATCTTCCATTTGTTCTAAATTTCAATAGTTGGGGGGAAAAAGAAACAAATTAAAAATTCTACCTTTTATGTAATTAGTTGGTTTTTTTTTTTTTTTCTGATACTGGGGACTGAACCCAGGGGTGACTTTACCACTAAGCCATACCCACCCAGTCCTTTTTTATTTATTCATTTATTTATTTTTTTTTTTTGAGAGAAGTTCTCATTAAGTTGCTAAAGCTAGCCATAGTCTCCCCAGTAGCTGGGAGTATAGGCATTCACCTCTGAACCTGACAATGATTTTTGTTTTGTTTTTTAATACCTGCCTATCAAAGAAACTGGTTATTATTTTAAAGGTACAATGTACTACGGCATGACAAACAACTAAAGCCCCCCTCTTTGAGTAGTAGCAGATTGATTTAGTTATTTCAGTCAACCAACAACACAGTAAGATCAAAAAATGTCCCAAAAGCAAAGGGAATTATAGGGCTCACTAAATGTCAAGCACAAAAAAATGAACAAAAATCTATACCAATGCCTACACGCTTTTTTAAAACATCAGAGGAGAACAACCCTAAAAGTTTAGGAGAGAAAACCAGGTCACATATAAAGAATCATGAATCAAGGGAATCATGTTCCTCAACAGCAACACCAGAAAGTTCTGACAGAAATTATTTCCAACCTAGAATTCTAAACTGACCCAAACTTTCAATCAAATATAAGGTTATGGCAAAAGTACTTTGAGGGACTAGGGATGCAGCTCAGTGGTAGAGTGTTTGCCTAACATGTATAAGGCCTTGGGATTCATACCCCAGCACCATCAAAAGCCAAAAAAAGATAGAAAAAAAAGTACTTTAAGATAACTATGTTCTCAGTATTTTGTTCCTACCTTTTCAGGAAGCTGTAGGAGGGTTGTTTTGTTTTGTTTTGTTTTTAAAGGAAATGATTTATAATCCCTACTACTCAGGAGGCTAAAGCAGGAAAATCACAAGTTTGAGGCCAGCCTTAGCAACTTAGGGAGACCCTATATCAAAAGTAAGGGTTGGGATGTAGTTAAGTGATAAAGTGTCTCCTGGATTCACTCCCTGTTACCAAAAAAAAAAAAAAAAAAAAAAAAAAAGAGTAAACTAAATAAAAAGAAGATGTGGGACTCAGGAAACAGGTGATCCAACATTGGAAAGTGACCAAGGGAATCCCAGGACATCTTTGCTGCAGGCTACAGGCTTTTGGAGTTCCTAGTCCTGTCTAGGACAGATACAAAGATTCTAGGGGAAAAAAAAATCACTAGGGAAAGTGGAATGTTAGGTTATTTGGTTATAGGGAAAATAGCACTAAGAGGAGTATAAGTTTTTGTTAAAATATGACCTTCTAAGATCTGAGATCTACTTTTATCACCCTATTTAATATTACAACCCATCCCTGTATCTATGTACTCCCAACTCCCCAACTTACATTGCCCCTTTACCCCTTTAGCATCTGTCACCTTCTAACATACTATAGGTTTTACTTATTATATTTTACTGTACATTGCCCATCTAGAATGTGTCAGAAGGAAAAAATTCTTTGTCTAGTTTCTTTATTAATATATCCGAAGTACCAAAACTAATACCTGGCCCTCAGTAAATAACTGTAAAATTAATGAATGGGTAATAGGCATATAAATAACTAAGCACATGAAAAATGTGCTAACTTTTAACAATACAAAAGTATTTTTTGTACAAAAATAGGAAATATTATGCACAACTTGGCTCTAAATAAACAGAATAGTCATCATAATGTAAATACTAAATATTGATTTAATATAAATTAGAAATATACTGAGAGGCCAATTGTGGTAGCACACACTGGTAATCCCAGCATCTTCAGAGGCTGAGGCAGGAGGATCACAAGGTCAAAGACAACCTTAGCAACTTAACGAGGCCCTGTCTCAAAATAAAAAATAAAAAGAACTGGAGATATAGCTCAGTGGTTAAGCACCCCTGGGTTCAATCCCTGGTACAGAAAAAGGAATATACTGAAAGGAATGGAAAAAGAAAATGGGAGAAGTAGTAGTATAAGGAAACTAAGTCCTCAACTACTAGCAAAGAAAGTCAAAATTTTCTGGAAATATGAAGGACAATATCTAAATAGCTAATAGTTATAAGTGTTTGCTTCTGATAAGCTAGATGAAGGAAAAGGATCAAAGGAAAGGATTACCAGTTTGCTTTTTGGCTAGATATTCCAAATATCTATGAATCTAAATAAACAAAGCCATCTGCTCTTTCAACCAGAAGAGAATTAAATAAGAAATGTTTCCTTTGTCTTATTCTGAAAACAGAATAAGAGACTATCACAGGAAGTGCTATATCAACCTGCATGAGAAGTAGTCCAAGGTAGACGTTTTTTTTTTAACAAGCTAACGCTATCCAAAACACTCAGGAGCCAGGGTGGTGTCACACACCTGTAATCCCAGCAACTTGGGAGGCTGAGGCAGGAGGATCACAAGTTCAAAGCCAGCCTCAACAATTTAGTGAGGCCCTAAGCAACTCAGTGAAACTCTGTCTCTAAAAAGAATACAAAAAAAGGGCTGGGAATGTGGCTCAGTGGTTAAGTGCCCCTGGGTTCAATCCCCTGTACCAAAAAAGAAAAAAAAACTCAAGAAATATGACCTCAAATGAGTCCATTTCTTTCTATATGACTATAAAAGCCAATCCTTTAGCAATCTTGGTTCTAAACTTTGACTCTACTACTAACCTATTGTGAGTCCTTAGGAAACAAGAATATTTGTCTTCTCAGTCCTTTAGATATTTCACAAATCTATGTAATGAAATAATCCTTGATGGCTCAAAACAATAGGTATGCAAACACATGATAAAGAAAAACAAACTGTAAGATATTAATACTTATGAAGTCCACTGACACCTATCACTTGCTACTTCCTTCTCTCTTCACTATGTGACATAATTGGACGCATTCTACCCAGATCACAAAGATCAGGCCAGAGTGAAAAAAGGCACGGTAGTTGGGGAGATAAGCACAAGTGGAAAGAGGGATCAACACAAAGAAATCTAAAAGTGGAATTTAAGGAGAACAACAAATCAACCACAACAAGATATTAGTATCAAAAACTAAACAATGCTATGAGAAATGTATTTATGGAAACCCAAAAGATTCTAAGAACAGTTGGGATGAGGAGTAGGGAGAGGAAAGGAAAAATAAAATTCAATTTCAAGCTGGTTATAGAGGCACATACCTATAATCTCAGCTACCAGAGATTGAGAGAAGAGTATAGCAAGTTCAAGGCCAGCCTGGGCAATTTAGTGAGACCCTGTCTCAAAATACAATAAAAATGGCTGGGGATGTAACTCAGTATTAAAGTATCC